CTCTCTGCTGACCCTCGTCAAGAGAAAACGAGCGGGTCACAACAACTTCCAGGGCTGGCAGCTGCAACGTAAGCTGCACCAGTAAGTCCGCCTCGCTGTGTGTCAGTTGCCTGGAGGATGGTCACAGAGGGCGTGAAGGTTGCAGCTATTCTTGGCCTTCTCCCCTGAAGAGCGGACAGCTGAGCCTCCCAGTGGCGTGTTACAGGAATTCCTCTAAAGAACCTGCCGCGGGGGCTCGAAAACTCTTGTATCTTAACAGAGCTTGTCCTAATTATTCCAAAAGAAGATACATTTTGTTCCTGTTCCTAATGTAATCCGCTCTGCACTAAATTACACAGAACTGTGGCAGTCTTATTTCAAAATGACATGCACGTGCCAAACTGTTGTCAGACAGCTCCACGCACACACCGGTATTTAGAAGACTTTGAATCGGGTCCTTCACGGGCTCTCTAGGCCAAGGCCATTTGTTTGCTTTTGCTTTGCCCCACCCTCTGTTGCCCTAGGAAGCTCCCAAGTACTAGTGTGGTACAAATAATCATTTAAAACAAGATCTTAGGCTGCTGCAGTAAGTAGATTGCTCACTGAAATGATGCTGTACATCTGCAGAAAGCCTGAATAATAGCTAACAGACCTACAAACTCCTCAGCCTATGCTTATTTCATTGTGCTATTAACTTTACAGCCTAATTACACCTAACACACCTGAATAACCAAACTCATTAATTAATTAGCAGCAGACTGGGAAAGATGGTGCTCCTGGGATGGTGAGGGATTGCTGTTGTAGGAAAAGAGAAGAGGAGCCATACAAGGTCAGGGAGAGAAACCAGGAAAAGGAGGAAAGGACAAAAGTTGTAGAAGTTGCTAAAAGCAAGCAGATCCCTCCTCGCCCCATTTTATGCAGGATGCAGTACTTGGGGACTGAATCCATAAATACAGATAATTAAAAAGTCACCCGACAGGTCAGACTCTCCAGTCTCCCTCTGACACCCACAGGAAACGTGACAGAGATTGAAAAGTCTACGCGCTCGTATCTTTTTTCCCCTTTCTGGCTCAGAAACTGTAATTAAAGGGGAAATCAGCCTCTCTCCTGCCTTAGAGAGTGTAGTGGCACAGCTGGTTTTCATCTTGGCTAGCAGGCTCTGTCCTCAGGCTACTAAGTGCTGAGTAATTTTTACCAAGCTCTGCTTGCAGATAAATGATGTTCTTCTCTTAGCTGCTGCCAGGCAAAGCTACAAATACTTGATCTTTTATTCTTTTCCCATAAACTCCTAACATTGAATACTAAAAATGCAACCAGAGATTTTTCCACTGCCATTTATTCTCAGCATGGTCACAACTCTATTACAATTACAGACACCCACCCATTTGCTGAAGCTCAACTGTAGTTCCTCGTTAACCTGAAGCTTCCAATTAAAGGCTCCTTCAGTTTCATTGATAGTTTGCATATACTCCAAGGACTCACTTTTTTTTTTTTCCCCCCCAAAAAACACATTCCATGAGAAGGGCAACTGCTTTAAATAACTTCACACTAATTTTCTGGAAAAGCCTGATGAGCAAGTGCCAGTCTGAAAAGAAAAGCCTGTGTCTGAATATGCAGATTGGGTAATTTCTCTCACAGCTTTAACTATAAAAATCTCTGAAAGCTTTTGATTAAATGTGGCACAACTGCTGGGCAGTGGGCTCAGACCAATGGAAAGAATCTAGGAAGGTACGACACTGGAAACCCATTAGTTTAATTCAAGTTTTCTGCAGTGTTTCTAGTGAGATCTTACATTTTCTAAGAAACTACACAAGAATTAGTTAAAAATTATTTTAAAAAATATTAATCTTGGCAATGCTGTTTGTCCACCTACCTCCAGTAAGCGAAGCCACGAACACGAAGCCAGCGCAGGGAGGAGGCTGAAAACTGGTAAGAAATACCACGGCTAATTTTAGAATCATTTCCAGTCATGCAGCGTGAAACACAGTGAGTAACAGTGCACATAAAAGTACCTGCACACTTTTAAAAGATAAAGCAAGATTTAAAAAGAACCTCGATTTTAAAAATATTTTTGAAGTAGACTAACAACCTGTCAACTCCCTAAACAACCCCGTGCCGCTGAGGATCACCTTCCCAGCACAGACACCAGCCTCATGGGATTACTGGTTACTGTCTTAGTAGTATCAGCCCCTGATGCAAGTCCATTTTCTGTTTAAGCCAGAAATGAGGGGGAAAAGAGGAGAGGAACAATCCTGTAAATCAGCAGCCATTTAAATAAAAGATGATGAGATGGAGGTAGCTTTTCTCTTAAAAAGTGAAACTGTGAACTGCTGTCTTGATGTCTGTGGCAGTGGGCATTTCCGTATGCCACCTTCTGTCTCTTTGGGGCAGGGGTGCACAACTTACGAACAGCTTTGGCCTGAACTCTGGTTGCTCACAGCACGTTTCAAAACACGGCTTCATGCAGTCGCGTGAAGGCATCTTGGCCGGCCTCTGCCGCTCGGTCACTGATCCGTGCTTAGGCCCAGCCTCAGACCTGTGAACGCGCCAGACGGGATGTATTTGTATTTTAGGATGGGAAAGCTGGGGGGAAGGCTCCGTGTCGAGATTCTGAACTAAGTTACAGTGGTTTTTGCTCTTGCTGGTCCTCAGGGTGTGGCTGTCTTCTCTCAGCCCACAGAACTCTATTTAAGCAAACACCATGGTAAAGCTATTCTGTTGTAGGGTAGTTTCTAATTTTAAGCATTTTGAAGCATTTAAAGGAGATTGTAAATGTTTGAAGCTCCAGGGGAGTGAATCTGTGCCATCTTTCCTGGGTCTTCAGACCCAGGACTGGACTTTGGTAATTATGTGTCAGGGCAGAGCCAGGAGATGCTGGGGCTTAACAGCGTTCCTGTTGCTCAGGCATCAGAGGGACACAATCCACATTAAACATGCTTCACATGAAGCGTTCTCCCTGAAGGCCTCGTAAAACAAACAAAACACTCACCACTGCTGACCACACAGGTTTTCATATTTAATAGAAATTAAATTAGTAGCTTAATATACATAATGTGACACTTTCCAGTCCAGTAGCTTTCCCCATTCTTGCTTTCAAGTCACAGAGCAAACACTGTACAAAAATGATGACAAAGAGCAACCAAAGAGTACATGCTGTCACTAAAACACTGGACCCAGAAAGGTGAGGTCTATCTGGAGCTACACACACCGACGGACACCTAACGACGGACCCACCATGGTACAACCATGCACTAACAAGGGACAGATCCAGGGCGGTTCCTCCAGGGCAGGCGGCAGCACCCCGGGGCGCAGAGCGGGCCCTTTTACCGCGCTCCGTAGCTGTAGTAGTAAGGCTCGTCCGGGCGGTAGCCATACGCAGTCGCCGGGCGGCCAGGGACCCCCGGGGGTTGACCAAATCCATA